AACCAACGAAGTAGTTTGCTTGCAAACAAACTGATAGTAATTTTATGTTCATAGTGTTGGAATTCATTCAGTTGTGTTATTCATGATGCAGCCACATGGGTTTTTCAATTGCTCCCCAGCTGTAGATGTTCCCCCAAGTGCAAGTGATTTGGATGATAAGGATAATGGGTTGCCTTCTAAGCCTATTCAGAATGGGCTGATTGCCAAGCTCTGAAACAACCAAAATTATAGAAATATTTAATTATTTTTATCAAATACTTAAGTGAGTGCATCAATTTACTTAAAATTACTGCTTGCTAATTTAAATGAATCCAAAATAATACTTTATCGGTTTCTCTAAATTGATATGATATTACTATCGACAGAAAGTGGGGAATAATGTCTGTATTGTTGGAATATAAAATTTGCATGTATTATGTTGTTTGCACTTTGCAGAATTAAAATACTTAACGAGTTTTTATTTTGCTAAATTCTAATAGTATAGCTGTTGTGATTGGAGATCCAAGTTGTAAGTTGAACCTAGATGATCCCGTCCCAACTTGGATTTATGATCTTCTAATTTTTAAATGTATTTTTAGGCTTAAATAAATTACTTTATTAATTTATTTACTGTAGTTTTTTATTTAAATTTCTAATCTTTAAAAAATGTACCTAAAATTCAAGTTTTAAGAAAATAAAATTTAACACATTTTAATAAATATGTTTTTATCCCAAAATTAAGACATGATGGCTCAAGGTCGAGGGTCATCCAATGAGAGAACACACGTGTACTACTTTAAGTAGAGGTGTAAATAGGTTAGGTTAGATTTTGGCTTAAATAGGCTATGTTTGTGTAAAAAATATTGAGTTTAGCCTGATCTATTAGCTTGTGTAGGACTCAACTTACAAATCTGGTCTGATTTATATTTAAAAAATAAAAATCTTGACCTAAGTAGGTTAGTTTATTTAAGTTTATTAAACATTTAAAAATTTAAAAAATAATTAATATTATTATTTAAAATTATTATTTTAATAATTTTATTTAAAATAAATAATATGATATAGCCGGCCTGTAGGCTTATAGGCCCGACATGTACAAAAAAACTTATAGTCTGTTTTTTAAATAATTTTTTTTAAAAGCCTAAGTCTGTTCTATTTTACTATTTCTAATAGATCAAACCTGATCTAATATAGGTCAGACCAACCTAATCTATTTACACTCCTAACAGGCTAATTTAGTAGAAAAATGAATTTGATATGGCAAATATTTTAGTTTGATTTGACGGCCTCTGCAGCTGCATTAATTTGAGATGTTAGTTAGCCATCATAAACTTTATCTCGTAAATAATAAGTTGTCTCAATCTATTAGCAGTTATATTAAAATCTCGAATAAATTACTTAAACCAAGTATTATTAAAATTAATTATGTTTTTCAATGTTGTACCAAAAAATACTTTTTAATGTTAATAGAAGAGATTATTGTTCATTATGTAAATTATAAATTAAAGAAGTATGTTTTCTAAACCAAAAAAAAGAACGAGAAAAAGTGTGTTTCAAGTTTTAAAAGCGAAATGAGATTTAAATTACATGTAATTTCTCCAAGATTTTTCTTGGTTCAACAAAAGCCAGCGAAGATGGGGGGCCACATGTGGATTTGGCTTGTTATTTTCAGTCGCATGCCAAGTTGTGAGGGATGGAAGCTTCTAGAGAGAGAGAGAGAGATGGTTAAATTATTTTTCCATTTTGTTCTATTGTAGTTTTGTGGCATTAACAATTTGTTCTGTTGTCTCAAGGGTTGCTTGCACAGGATAGCAGGGTGAACCAACTGCCAAGAATGTGCCCTGTCCTGTCCTGTCCTCTACACCTACAATTAATTTGAGCCAGCCTTTGGGCTGTGTTTGTGCCTCTAATATTCTTGTTCATTTTGCAGCAGTTCGTTTGTCTCAGTTTGTGGACCAATGCCATAATGTTTCATATGCTTTTTTTTTTAGATTATTTCAATCATTTCATCGCTTTGTGATTAGTCTGATTCGAGATGGATTTCAGGATTAAGACTTTAAATTCTTCCTAAAGATGACACGGGAAAAGATCGAACACATCATAAATTAATTCAGTAGTTACAAGTTTATATATTGTCAGAGCTTAAAGCAGCTTAATTATTGAAGTATACACAATAAGATGGAACATGATATATTTTCTTTAAATTATCCCATTATATTTGTGTAAGGACAAAGGTTGATAATGATAAGTAGTAAGAGTAAATAAAAAGAAAAGAAAGAGAAAGTGAAATCAACATGAGAGAAGGAATAACTTGTATTATTTGAATCAAGGGGCTTGACTCATTATTATATTACTACAAGCTAGGAAGGAGCGAATTAGGTATGACAAGTCATCTTGTATATTCAAACGTGGTTTCCAAGTTACAATACGATTTCAGACTTCAATTCTGCCCGTAATATGCACGTTTGAACAGTCAATATGTCTAATTTTCTTTTCTATTTCCTTGTTTTTTCTTCTTAGGTCATAGTTAGACAAAGTTTGATTTTTCAACTAGGATAATAGGATTGGGAAGTGTGGAGATTCAAACTTCTGAGAGTTTCTTGGACTAGTTGTGCTTTGCGTGCTGTGAACAGAGTTCAATATTTCCATTCGGACGTTAAGTACTCTTTAGTTATTTAACTTTGTGCATATTATTACTGAGTTTTGCCTCGCCTTACCCTCCCATTCTATCTTTCCTTCCAAGTTCCAACCAATTCAATGATGAATGTATAGAATTAGGACGGGAAGCATACCCAAATTTGACAGTTTGTCAGGCAGTGAAATTTCTGACAAGTATTATCTAAAATTACCAAGCGCCAAATATGTTGTTCATACATTTTGTGGGTATAACTTATTTTATATTAATAATAAAGTAATTAAATATGAGAAATGTTTTTTTCACGTTGCATTGTCTCATGCAACACATACAAAAGTGGGTGGGACCCATTAAAAAGAGGAGAGAGAAAGAAAAAAGTGGATCTCATTCACTTTTTGTGTTTGTCTCATGCAATATGAGAAAAACATTTCCTATTAAATGTTCATCATTTTCATATCCTAACACAAAAATTGTAAAAAAAAAAAATTATTATTGATACAATAATATAAAATTAAATACAATTATATCATTTTTTCCGTTATAATATTTTGAAAAATAAAATAACCTACAAAGAATGAAATCATTATATTTGCTCTCCTGGTTCATTTTTTACTTTAGAAATAAATTACTTAATTTTTCAGTTTTTTTTCATGGTGCATCTTATAAATTGCATTTGTTTTGTTTCATAGTTATATATAATATGATTATAAGAGATTTTTTTGGTATCTTTTATTTTTAATAAAGTATTATATCTTTAATAATTAGTAGTTAATATTTAGTCAAATATTTCATTTAATTAAAATTTAATATACAAATATTTTTATTCCTTATATTTCATGTAAATGAGAAAAATCATAAACAACTAACTACTAATAATTAAAGGATAAAGCAAGAGAATTAAAGAAACCTCCATAATTCTAACAATGAAAAAAAATTATTTACCTTTTTAAAGGATATAAATTTATGTTATTTTAATTAAAATTATTATATTTTAATATAAGATAAATATTAACACAATAAAAAATCATGACGGGAGAGTGAGAAGTTATTGAGAAATTTTTTCGATTTAAATATAAATCGAAAAAATTATTAATTTATTTAAAATAACATGAGTATATCCCCTTTTAAAAGTATTTACCCGAAAAAAAATGCAAAAATGCTGAAATATTAATATATTATCAATCGACTTTGGCAAAAAGAACCTAAGTCTGTTCTGCATACCCCGGTGACAAATAGTACTATATTATATAATAAGGGATAAATTAGGATAAATTAAGGGTATCTCCGTAGTATAGGATAACGTGTTAGAAGATCGTATAAGATTTGATTAAATTTTAATATTATTTAATGTTTTGTAGGGTATTGTATAAGATAATATCTTATAATATTTTAAAAACTAATATATTAAAAAAATTATTTTAATATATAAATATTGAAATGATATATTAATTTTTGGGAAATGTACAAGCAATATTAATACATCAATCCCTTATCAGATCTAATCCACTCCTTTTATATCTGATTAAGTTATACATCATTTTGATATATAAAGGGATCTTGCTGTATAAGTTTATACTATACGATGATTACACCAGATAACTGAAAATATCATAACGTATAGTATAAACTTATACTATCAAACTTTATACTTCACGCTAAATATGCCAATGATTAAAACTGTGTTAAAGGAAAAATAGAAAAGAAACACGAAAAGTGTTGAATATCACGCACGTCGGGAGAGAGTGCGATGAACAGTATAGTGCTTGACAGAATGACAAGCATCGTAAGCACAGTTAAGTTACGTTGCGTACGAGTCAATTTGACTTCACTCCGCCCTCCAAAACCTCTAATTAATAAAATCAAATCCCCTCTTACACTAATTAAATCCTAAGGCTCCTCTAATCATCAATTCATCCTACAAACAATTCAATTGCTTGCGTTGTAATTCCCTGCGGAATTCATGTTATATTTCTCGTTCATAAAATAAATAAATTAAAGATAAATACTTAAATTAATCTTATAACCAAGTATATGGGACATTAATATGATAATTTGATATTTAAAATATGAGTTTTATAAGAGTTATGTTGTAAAAAAAATGATTGTGTAATATTATAAAGATTCATTTTGTGTGCCGTAATTTTTTCTTCTTTTTTTTTCTTCAAAAAGTGTGGGCTCCACAAAATGTTGTGTCATGTTAAATGACAAATGCAAACCCCTTAAAATATATATTTATTTAGTTTAAAGTATATTTAAAGCGTAATTTGATTTCCAATATTTAAAGGAATAACAAAATGATGTGCACATATATATTAGTTCTAATTTGATAAAAGAAAAGAAGAAGAAGTTACTTACGTTATTAATTGCTAACGTTTGAAGTTGGGACAAACAAACATAAAAACATGCGTGGCAGAAGAACAAGGACAATAATAAAAACGCACGTTCAGTTTCGCAACTCGGCGTAGACTCAGTTGACTCGTCTGCAAAAAGTACACAATTTTCTTGCAATCCATCATCGAACATCACGAACTCAACTTCCTCAATCCAACAACCTAAGATTCTTTGCTTTCGGTTGGGGTTTTTCTGACTCGGTGGCTGGACTCACTGGATGCGTTCTGACTCGGCGCGGCGTAGATGGCGTCGTCGGAAGAGAAGCGAATCGAGGACGAGTTATCGTACCCGATTCTGGTGGCGGAGCGAGTTCGCTCGGCGGTTGAGGTGGCCGAGTCTTTCAAATTCGAGTGCTCCGAAGTGTGGAAGCAGGTCGATCGACTCCTCCAAATGATCCGAACCCTCGTGCGCTTCGCCGCCACCGCCTCGCCGGCGCAAACCCTCTACGAACGCCCCATCCGGCGCGTCGCCTCCGAGACAGCTAAGAATCTCGAGCGCGCCCTCACCGTCGTCCGCAAGTGCAAGCGCCGGAGCATACTCCGCCGTGTCTTCACCATCGTCAGCGCCGCCGATTTCCGCAAGGTCTTCAATTACCTCGACGCCTCCGTTGGCGACATGAAGTGGCTCCTCAGCATCTTCGACGCCGATGGCGGGATTGTTCTTTCCCTCCCTCCGATTGCCAGCAACGACCCTATTCTCTCTTGGGTATGGTCTTTTATTGCTTCCATTCAAATGGGTCAATTGAATGATAGAATTGAAGCTGCAAATGAACTTGCTTCTTTAGCACAAGATAATGATAGGAATAAGAAGATCATTGTTGAGGAAGGTGGGGTGCCTCCATTGTTGAAGCTTTTCAAGGAAGGCACCTCACCTGTTGGTCAGATTGCAGCTGCTAGTGCTTTGTGTCATTTAGCAAATGATTTAGAGAGAGTTAGGGTGATTGTGAATGAGCTTGGGGTTCCTCTTGTTGTGCAAGTGCTTGGTGACTCCCCCATGAGGGTTCAGACCCTGGCTGCTAATTTGGTGGCCAGGATGGCTAAACATGACCCTGTCGCACAGGAAGATTTCGCTAGGGAGAACGCGATCAGGCCACTTGTAACACTCTTGTCATTTGATACTTTTGTGGATGAATTGGGTAAGCAGAGTATTCATTCCATTGTTCAGATTAATAAGGAATTGGGGAAGAGGTCATCAGGTAGATCAAGTAATCGTTCCTTAGCGGATTCGTACTCCAATTTGTATTTCAGTATGGAGGGAAGTAGCCGGGGAGGGAACCATAGGAAAGAGAGGGAGAATGAGGATCCTGCAGTGAAGCTTCAGCTGAAGATTAGTTGTGCTGAGGCTTTGTGGATGCTTGCCAGAGGAAGTGTGTCCAACAGTAGGAAGATAACTGAGACCAAAGGGATGCTTTGTTTGGCTAAGATTGTTGAGAAGGAACAAGGAGAGCTGCAGTGCAATTGCTTGATGACGATAATGGAGATAACAGCTGCAGCAGAATCCAATGCTGACCTTCGCCGCGCAGCATTTAAGACTAACTCTCCTGCTGCTAAAGCTGTTGTGGAACAGCTCTTGAGGATAATTAAAGAGGTGGACAGCCCGGCTTTGCAAATTCCAGCAATTAAGTCCATTGGTTCATTAGCTAGGACATTTCCTGCTAGAGAGACGAGAGTAATCGAACCTCTAGTAACACAGCTGAGTAATAGAAACATGGATGTAGCAGAAGAAGCAACCAGTGCTCTTTGCAAGTTTGCTTCTCCAGATAATTTCCTGTATGCAGAGCATTCTAAGGCAATAATTGAATTCAATGGAGTCCCCGCACTGATGAGACTGCTAAGGAGTAATGAAGTTACCCTGTCGCTTCATGGGATAACTCTCCTTTGCTACCTTGCATTGCATGCTGGCAATAGTGAGTCCTTGGAACAAGCAAGGGTGTTGACGGCTCTAGAGGGTGCAGATAGAACAGTTCTTCCTCAGCATATAAGAGAATTGGTGTCCAGGGCTATAGTCCACCTCAATTTGTATCATGCAGGAATGAATTCTCAAAGGATGTCATATTTTCCTTGACCACAAATTCAGCTAGCTTGTGTACCCAGTGTTTTTATGGGTTCATCGGTATACTGCTGAGTTAGTTGCATCTGGCAGAACCTTTGGGGAATACGGGGGTTGGTTATACATAGGAACAAAGTATACTTCAAGTAAATACATTAGTTTTTCAACTAAGACTGTCTCTTCTCTTTTATTTTTTACTTCATGAAAAGTAGCCACTGGGGTGGCGGTTTGCAGAGATTAATTCATATTGGATAATCAACTCTTCTTAGTCATTTGAATTTGTTGTTTGTGTACTTATTTTGTTCATCAAATATGTTCTCCTCATCAAATATGTTCTCTACATTGCCTTTTGATAATGCAAATTCTTATAGTAGGATAGAATTGGTTGAGGTTTGATTGCTTCATAGAATGTCCAGTGGTTCCGCTGTTGGAAGTCTCTTTACCAGTTCGAGGTTTGTGATATTTTGTTAACTGAAATGTGCTTTGTTCATCACTTCCAATTTTATGTTAACAGAAAGAACTTATTTTTTGTGATAGCTTGTTTGACCAATGAAGATGATAATGGGGTAAGCATCGTTATTATGCTTCTTATAATCGATAACAGGAATCAATCATTGCCCTTTATGTCCATTTGTTGTATGGTGCTGTATCTCATCATGTGATTTATGCAGAGTGAACTTAACTTGGGAAAGGCCAGATATGACGGAGTTAATTTGCAGCAGGCCCGGACTAGTTGGGTTTGTTTTCATGAGATATGCTATAATTGTTGTATGACATGGGTAAAAGCACTTTTTTAAGTGGCTTATTTAGATGGACTTTTGGGAGAAAAAAAAAATTATTCTTTGCCTTTTTAGAATTATTTTTTTTTAAAAGATTAAGCTATTTTTTGCATTTGGATATATTATGTAAAATGCACTTTAAACTAAAAAAATATTATTTGGATATTAAAATTTAATAAAAAAATTGTATAAAATTAGGGGTAATGGTTTTTTATGTTACAGGATAAGATTTCTTCTCTTGCAGGTGGGCCTACATGTTTTCAGTGGGCCCCACCTACTTATTGTGTCATCAAGAAAATCCTCTCATATAAGAAACCATTAACTCATAAAATTATTAAAAAGAACGTGTGAAAATAAATAATATGTAAAATTTGGTGGTTGCCGTTGCAATGGTGGGATGATTGGGTGGAGGAGGTGATGGGATTAGTTGATGTTGAGATAAATTTGGATTAAAAAAAAATTGACTTTTGACTTATTTTTTTAGAAACCAAAGAATTTTGCTTAAAAAAATAAAATTTTGTCTTATTTTATGACTTCATAAACATTTATAGCAAGAATTTTGAATTTTTTTTTTTGAAAAAAAAAATTCATCCAAAATTATGCTTCCAAAAAAGTATCAGCGAAGGAACATTTGCTAATTTTCTCTTTCTTAATTTCAAATACCTTTGACACTGTTCATTCCAAACCTCAAAATAATTGAACTTTTGTAACATCTAACTCTAAGTCTACGAAATTTCTCCTTTTTGACGTACGCAGTGACAATATAAAGCCATTTGGTGGCTTAATTTTCAAAGTGATGATTCATTTGAAGAAAAAATAGCACAAGACATTGTGCATACACGGCATGCACAAGAAAAGAATGCGGAATAATTCAATTCCTTTAATCAATAAATAGAATCAATTTCTCATTTGTTCAAAACATTCCAAAATAGAGAAGAAAATTTCTCTTATCTTGAGTAAGATATATTCTTTTAATATAAGAAAAAGTGATTTTATTCTTTCTTTATATTTTAGAGAAAAATTGTAATTTCTTTTATTTAATGAAAATCTTCTATAATTTTGCTCTTTGAATTTTTTTTCCAATTGAATTTTGGGATAGGATATTGTTACAATCAAATAATATTACTACCATATCTTAACCGTTGATGTCAGTCAATTAATGGTTATCATTTTCACAAATTAAACTCATTAATTAATTATTAATTCACAATAAATAATAACCATTGATTGACAAAATCAACGGTTAAAATATAGTAGTAACTTTATTTGATAATAATAATATCTTATCCGTTGAATTTTTCAAGTAAATCTTACGTGTCACTTCAATTGATGTATTTGTACATGTTAATTTTTTAACCGGTGAAATTTATATAAAGTTATTTCTTACAGTTAATGTCTAGAAAAGTAGTTAAAATACTTAGTCACCGTTACATAATAGGGTGATTCTCACTAAAATTACACTTACCAGATCAATTAATATAGTTAACACTGTCTTAAAATACATATTTATTTTAATTCTATTTTAACTATATGATATTCTGTTACCATTCTCCTGATTCTTCAAACACGCGACTGTTGATCTTGTTGAGTCCCTGCAGCAATGAGTCTAAGACTATTAAGGACATAGTTTTGAGTTGATGGCCTGATTAACTTTGTGGATTTTATAAACTCGTTAATAGGTGCTCTTTGTTATGTTGCAGAGAGCTTTTGTGTGCTTATGCTGTCTTCTGCTGTAAAAAGCTCCAAATTGAAAGAACTTGTCTGCATCGCTTAGGTAATATTACACAGGAAAGAAGGTGCAGGATATATGTCGCACAAGAGATGGCGATTGAACATGCAAGGTACTCCTTTTCCTGAATGTTATTTAAACCGGTTATGATGAGAGGCCCTATTTGCTACGTTGCAAATAGAGTTTTCCTTCCTTCTTGTATGTCTTTTCCTGCAATGTGTTGAATATAGTTCCTAGTTATACGAACTAGTCTAATACGAAAGTCGATTGTCTTTCATGGATAAGATGTTGGAGATGTAAAGGATAATTGCACTCGGAAATAATTCCATTTTTCTTCTACACTTAAATGCAATTTCCGTGCGTTCCTTTCCAAATGTCTGGCTGTTACGGCATGCCTTGATATTCCATGGAAGCTCTACCCGTCTCATGAAAAGCATAGATTTGAATTTTGGGTAGAAAGAACATTCTACCATTCTGTTCTAATTTGACGCATCGACTAAGCGATAACTATGCTTGCAATCTTCAGACCATTCTCCCCTGTTAAAGCTTTTTCCACTTCATCTACCCATTATTGGTCTACTTCAACAAGCAAAGGCAATTTAGATGGCAAAAAGACCCGTCTATTTTTCTTCACATTCTTGACTCACTGACCACCTATGAAACACCGACACTTCTCGACACTCTCTGTACTCCAACACGCGTTATAAAAACTCAAAAAATGGTTCAAAAATTATGTTGAGTTGCGTTTTTAGTTTCAACTATTAAATTTGTTAGATTACAATTACTGTTTTATCGAGTTTAATATAAATATTTAAGATATTTTATATTTCTTTGCAAAATTGATAAGTATTATAAGTTTAACTTTATTTTTTTGTTAAATTATTGAATATTAAATATAATATAAACTACATAAATTAAAAATATTATTAAATATCAAAACGTGTCCTAACGTATCGAAATCTAACAGTTTTTAAAATTAACGTATCGGAGTGTCATGTCGTATCACGTGTCAGTATCGATGCTACATAGCTGACCACTGCACCTGCCCATACGAAACTTCTGAGCAAACAACAGATCCCCAAACCTTGAAATTTTCCGCATTCAAATCTCGAACTCATCTATGCACCAAGCTATAGGAAACTTTCGGGGAAGGGACATACAGATACATACACTTCTTATTTCATGTATACTAGAGAGGACATATATGTCCTAATTGTAGTGCCAAACATACAACTAAAAAACTAAACATGGTTAGTTGCAGAGTAGCTATTGAACCACGGTAGAGGTTAATTGATCCTCTCGTAAAGTTACAGACGTCAGCTTGCTACTTCACGATCATTCTTCCTATATAATCTAAGGATGTGTTTGGTACCGGAGAAATTTTTTGGTGACCGGGAATCATGATTAATGAAAATTCAGTAGAAATTGAGTTTACTTGGAATCTTACGAAAGATGTGTTTGGTTCGCCAAAATATTACCGGGAATACTGGGTAAAAATTACTGATTCCATATTTGGTTTAGAACGAAATATGACTTGGAATATGAGGTTATTTTACAAAAATAACCCCAAACTATTTTTACTTTTGTAATTGATAGATTGGGTTTAGATTTTTATGTTTATTGGGGTATTTTTGTCTCAAAATTTATTGTTGTGCTTTCCCTTTACTTGGTATTCTGATTGGTATTCCGAATTACCATATTATTTTTGGTAATCTGAATAGTGACTTTTCTTTATAAATCAAATTACCGGTAATCCTTGAATATCCGGGAATCGTAATTTATTCCTTCTACCAAACGTGGTAATTACATTTACCAAAGAAGGATTACCGGTAATCCTCTCCAAAAACTTGAACCAAACACCCCCTAAGGGTAATATGAAGTTGCAATCTTCCATACAGCCATTTATGAAAAAGGCCCATCACATTCTATCCTGCACATTTCTACGGGGAAATGAAGAGGATCTTTTAACTTGTCAATGGATGGCATATAAAAGGATTCATCTTAGTTTTGTTTTGGGCTTTTACATACCTAGAAATATACTATGCATTTCTTGGAGCACGAACTAGAAAGTTAGAGATTACGCATAAAGACCACAATGGTCAGGATTAGTAGGCAGAGGGGAAGTCGATTGGTCAACTCCTGCTTTCCTTGGTCTTATGCTTTAGGCTTTCTTTGTTAACTTCACCCTAAAGATGCAAGGGGTCAAGGCAACGCAACATCTTGCGGACAAACCAGATAAAGTCTGGCTCAACGTGATGGCAAAGCACGCCAACTCTCAGCTAGATGCATGGCATGATCACGCGAAGCTGCTGAAAGCCGATGAACAACTACATTCTTGACATGAGCAGCACCTTTTTCACCAGCACGAGTAGCAAGTTCCAAGTATACCATAGCCTTCATCATGTCTCCCTCCTGTACAGATATAATACCTCTATTAGAAAGGCATTATAATCTAATTTTTTAGGGGAAAAAAATTCAAATATTATCCACCATATCAGACAAAATATTAGAACTTGCTAGTTGTTAATTATCATTATTACCATAAGCTACCAATATTTTTAGTCATTGCTGACTGCTATTCCAATAGTGTAAATATATTCCGGATAAGATCACAAAAATGAAATCAACAAATACAAAAATTGAGGCTACTGATCATGAAACAGAAATCGGAACTCCCACTGAAAGAACAAATGTCAGAATGCCGAACTGTAATAGAACCTCAAAGCATATAAGAATTAGCAGTGAGGATGCAAAATCACATTTTGCATGATTCAGTGCGTAAGTCCATATCTATCGTATAACACTTGAATACTAGCTGAACAGCAGTTCGGAAAATAGAGATCAATGTAACCAAGTAACACTGAGGAGAACCAAAATAGATGAGATGAGAAAGTCATACAAGAGACGTCTAGCAAATGACTTCAGTCTCTAATTAACAAGCTTGAGCAACAAATAGTGCAGCAAAGACCACAGATTCCAAAAAAGTGCCATGACATCCAGTTTTCACAAAGCGAGAAAAGTTCACAGACATTTCAGTGTTTAATTTATTCTTTGGTACACATTCAAAGTACAAAGGTCTAGCATAAAGGGGTATATAAATACTTACAGAAAATAGAGCAAGTCCATGCTCAAATTGAGCTTTACTATGACCATGATCTGCAGCCCGCTTCATCCATTTTCTTGCTAGTCGATGACTTCGTGTCAGTCCTTCCCCATAGGAGTAGCATAAAGAGATATTGTACATAGCACGCACATACCCACCTTCTGCAGCTTTCAGATACCAATTAGCCTGTTCCAAGGAAAACTTGTTAAAACTTCAAAGCAAATAGCAGAATATTCATGAAAATAAAGGAACCAAAAATATCCAACATCATAAAACAATTCCCAAACAACGAATCAAGCAGATTTCCCAGCTTCTAAACCCTCCATGACAGAAAAAGTTCCATTTCATAATTAAAAGTTAAGAGGACAGAAAAAGGATAGAGCACCAACAGCTTCTTTTATGTTGCTATTGATCCCACCACCACGATGCAGGCAATGTGCAAGCTGGTACTGGGCACGAACATTGCCACTAATGGAAGCTTTATACAACCATTTCAAAGCTTCCTCAGTGTTCGGAGGTTCAGCTGCATAGCAAAGGTACACCTTATCAAAATGTTCTTTGCCATTCTAAAGATATATTCATTAAAATTTCATACCCTATATTTCATTTTTTAAAATTTAAATTAAAAAAAAAAAATTCATTTCCAGCCACCATCTACCCAGAACACCACAGAAGAAAGAGAGCCATGAATTTCCAAGAAGATTTTGCAGACAAAAAGACTGTTAGAAAATAAAAAAAATTGATTTTTATACTGTATGCACTATGCATCAAGAACACAGACACTATTACAATGTACTTGGACACAACCTAAGTCCGGATACCAAGCAGCACACACACAAAATCCAAAACGTGCATGTGGTTAGGAAGATTTAATTATTTTCCATAAGAAGTAAATAGAAGTGAAAACACAACATGCTTTCATGTATATAAAAACGGAAACAACAAGATCAGCTGCAAAAGATGGAAGCTACAAATAGAAAGGGTTCGAAGAAAACCTTGCAGATATGAAATACCCAAATTGCACTGTGCAGAAGGGTTTCCAAGTTCCGCAGCCTTCAAATACAAATCCACGGCCTTCTGTTTCTCCCCCCTCTCCCAGTAAATCAGGCCGGCGTCCACCATAGCCAAGGCGGAGCCACGAGCGGCGGCTTTCAAGAACGACTCCAAAGCCTTCTCTGCATTCGGACGGACCCCTCGCCGGCCATGCTTGAACCGTTTCCCCCACGTCAGCAGCAACATCGCCTCCCTCAGCGGCCGGAGCGCCTCCCCCCATGACCGGCACACCAGGGACGCCGCTCGAAGGTTCGGCTGGTCGAAGGAGGCGGCGATCTTCGTCAGAACATCGTAGGGGAGGGCCGAGAAATCTCCTCCGCCGGACGTTGACGGCGGAGGCCGGGAACAGAGGCGAACGGAGCGAGCGGAATAAGCGGCGGAGAATTCGGAAACGGTTAGGTTTCGGAAATGAAGAGAGGAGAAGGGAGAGGAAGAGGAGCTACGAGGCCATGTTGTGTGCTTCATCTGCTTCGGTAACTGTAGCAGTTGAACCGTAGGGAGTGAAAGTGAGAGAGAGAGAAGGGGTGAGAGAGACGACGTCGGTGGATACTATCGGTAATTCGGTCGTTGAGTCATCATTTACCTTAACTTTACATTACATCCATTAAAAAAAAGGTTCATTTAGTCTCTTTCAAACTATAGTTGATTTGATTAATGAAATAAAGATCCTCACACGCATTATCTCAAATTTATTTTGTTTCTGCCAATTTTTTAAAATAATAATATTATATTCCTATAGGTAAGTGTGAGGTAAGAAGTATTGTTCTTTGCCCTTGACCGTTGTTTAGTTGAGGATAAATTTTTTGAATACTAAAAAAATATAATTAATAAAAAAATGGTTAAAAAGTGAAATTGGTAGAAAAATGTAAAAAAAATTGTTTGGTTGAGTAAAATTTTACCAGAAAAATTATATGAAATTCCTGAAGAGTGTATTTGGTTGAATAGAAAATATTGATGGAAAACTAATTCAAATTACGAAACTATCATTTTAAAAATAATATCACATTTGTAACTTTTGCCAACTCTACGCTCACCGATTTATAAAACTTTTGCCAGTTTTGCAACTTATCCGGTTTTTAGAAATAATACCACCTTCAAGGAAAGAAAATGTAACAGTGATTTTTAGACAAAAAGCGTGCAATTAAGATAGATAGGGAACAAGAAAAGCTGGGTAAAAATCATAAAATCAGTTAACCAAACATGAATTAATGATAATGCAGCCATCACTTTCCAAGGATTATTTAACAAAATCCTAAAACAAACACCCGTAAGCTTAAAAGATAGCTACTTGTACGGTTGTACTTGTACCTCAAGACACCTTAGTGAATATTGGAATTTTTACTTGAGGGTTATTTACTCTCATATTAAAAAGAGCTGCGAAATTTTGGACACGTATTTCTTGAACTAGTACTTGCATGGTTGGGGTAGTGTTTGGTTCGGGAGAAATTTTTTTTACTAGAGAAATGGTCGGAAAGTGAATTTAGTAGGAAAATGTAAAAAAAATTGTTTGGTTGACCGAAATATTACCAGGGAAATTTATTTAAATATGCAAAATCTATGTTAGGGAGAAACTTTGCACCTGTTTTTTCACTTCCCCAGTTATCTCAAAATACCACATCTCAAGTGGTATTTTGTAACAGTGAATTTCATCCAAAAGTCAACACAAAATTCATTTTTCCATCTATCCTATTTGCTTAGTATTTTTTGAAAAAACCTGAACCAAACGTGATATTTTTCAATATCCACTTACACTTTTCCATCAATCCCAAAATAAACCTTCAACCAAACACTACCTAAAAAGTTACTTTTCCAAAGTTTTACTGTCATCCTGATTGGTCTTTAGGAGGTGTTTGGTTGAGGAGAAATTTTTTGAATACTAGGAAAATGTAATTGATAGGGAAATAGTTGAAAAGTGAGTTTGGTAGGAAAATGTAAAAAAAGTTGTTTGGTTGAATAAAATATTACTGAGAAAATTAAGTGAAATAACATAATGAAGTGTTTGGTTGAATATTTCATATTAATGGGAAAGTAATTGAAGTTACGAAACTATCCTTTTTTTTTTAAATTGTCCTTTATACCAACGATTGTCCAAACGGTTGTCTTCGTCTTTGGGTGTCGTCTCTGTCTCCCTCGTTGTATAGTTACAGGGTTTGTTGCAAACCAAGATGGACGATCCATGTTCATAAATGTCATTAGCTTGTTTGGCAATTCAAGGCAGTGTTCTGTCCATGTTCAAGCTAATATAACAAGTACCACCTTTTATGAAGGATCCATGTTATGCTATTATTAATTGCCTACCAAATATTTATGAGCAGATTCAACAAATGATATATGTGGAACCTTTGGGAATAACATATAAATGTCTATGGTTGAGTAAAATCTCTACCTTTAGCATCATTTGACATCTTCAGACTGCACATTACAGGTGGAACAAATTGGGCACAGTTGCTATGGTTTTGAGTAGACACAGTGAACTTGACTAAATTCTCTCCAACATCACGCACCTGCAAGTCTTCTGGACTGCATCAATATTAGCTTGACCATATTCCTGCATTCAAAACCAGTTTGACAGATATGGGTTTAGGAACAAATACATTTCACCAAGTGTGAGGGGCAATACAGTCACCCATTATATTACTTTTGCCACTTTTTCAACTTCTCCGATTTTTACACACAATACCACCTTCCAGGAAGCATTCTGTAACAGTGATTTTGAGATAAATCACACACAATGCAAGATAGATGGGCAACAACGAAAGATAGGGAAAAAAATGGAAATTGCTCAAACAAACGTGGAGTTCCTAGAATCTCAGCATCACTTCCTCGGGATAGTGTGACAAAAACCTGAAACAAACACCCCCTTAGGTAATAAACAAGCGTTGTAACAATGCATGGATAGTAATGGCAATTATAGTTAGAGGACTAACTTCTAGACGTGCATAAAAGAATTATGAAGAAAAACTATGAACAAGTCCTTCAATGATTGTCTCCATTTTCATTTTGGTGATTATTGTGGCCTTAGTAGCTCACGAAGACTTTGGCAAGCAACTCCAGTTGCCCTGGTGGGAATTCTTACTATTGTTAACAATAGGGCCAGCAAATGGGTTCGGTTCGGCGAGTTAACCCGCTCCATTCGTCAAACGGAGCAGGGTGAGCTGAGTTTTACAACTCATCTCAAATGCGAGGTGGGGCAGACTCATTTTTTGACGGGTTGATGGTGAATATAGGTGGGGGCAAGGTGGATCAGTGTAAAATAAACTCGAGCTGGTGGGCCAACTCACCTTGCCCCCAAACAAGAAAGGACGGATCGAGTTTTTCAGTCCACTTTCAAAAACGTAACGGGATGGGCTGGTTCATTTTTTGTCTGGGTGAGGCAATCGAGCCCGTCCATTTTGCCACCTCTGACTAACAATTGCATCACCTTTCACTTTTCACCATTACAATTGCGTCAGCTTTCACTTAAGTCAATTAGCTTCGCTTAATGGCTCTTGAACAAATTTTCTTTCATTTTTTTGTTTTTTAAAACTGTGTATTGGCTGGCCCAGCTAAGTGCCTTCGATGTAGGCCTGGTTGGGCCCAAAATGACAAGGGCATGCAGCTCTAGCCTTTTGGTTTAGACACAGGTAAATAATAACAATTTATAAATATTATATAAAAGAAAGTATATACAAGTGAATTCGATATTATACGTTAGTTATATAAAATTATTTTTCTAATTTCTCTCTCACACAATGTAGGCTTATTTTCACGCATTCTAATTATAATTTATCAATGTTGAATTTCAATTCAAATTTCACTCATATTTAATTTGATTTCATTTAAGTCATAAAATATCTCGTATCTTTTTAAAAAAAATTATATATTCAGCACTCTCGATTTTCACATTTAAAAAAATCTAACTCAAATCTAAATTATACTTATTATATATTTATTTCTCTTAATTTTATATAGATATTAGTTAAACATTTATTATATTTATATATGTTTATTATATTTTTTTGAATTGTATTTTTCTCCGGAAAAAATAAAATTTGATCGAATTCTAATTATTATTTATTATTTATTTTCTTTCCAAATAAGTCTATTAATTAGTTTTAATTTTAAAATCAACAAAAACTTTTTATAATATTACAAAAATGAGAAACACAAATTTTTTTATATCTAATTTACATCTTTAATGTTCATCTTAAAGCAAAAATACATCTTTAATATAACTATATTGAAATCAAAAATTATATTTTATTACTTTTATGTTTTCATTTTTTCTCACTATATTCGTAATTACAAAATTATATATTTACTGATGTAATTACTTAACAATATATATGTCATTCCATATAATAATAAATATTTATTTCTTCAGGTGTACCTGTCATAAGACTCAGGCTGTATAGTGACATTGTTTAGAGATAAAATATCGTAATTATATTTCGTCTCAAATTTATACAAAGTTAACTGGATTTAAGAAGATGTATAACCAAATTAAAATATAAGAATTCTATGATCAATTTTTTTTTGTAATGATATAAATTTTTGTATTTATTATATGTTTATATTTTCTCGTGCACCCTTAAGTAGTGTTTGGTATAAGAGTTCACAAAAAATACCCATGCATCTGACTTTGGTATTTTGTGTAATCCATGTTTGGTACAGAATATTCAAATATTTTCTCAGCAAACTTATTTGCCCAGCATTTGAGAAATGTTTGTAAAATGGGATAAAAAAACATTGCTCTCAAATACCACTTGGAAGATAGTATTTGTAGTTCACCGGCTAAATAGCAAGAAGAGCAAGAAATTGCAAATAAAAATACCCTCTTCTGAAGAACAGTATGTTTAACCTCATATTCAGTGGAATCCAATGAAAATTACAATCTATCCACCTCAGAGTCTTCGATTGAAGGTGGTAAAAACAATACCTTTCTATGTTAAAAACAAGATCGTACTCTTTTCTCCAACACCTAATCTGCATCCTGCAAGGTGGATTAAGGTGATTTGCAAAAGTTATCTCTTTATCTACAACCACCTCATGCAATGATAAATTCTTTCTCCAAAATATATAGACGGAGAAAGGAGAGACATAGAGAAATACGGAGATATGAAAACTTGAATATTGACGTTGGTAGAAACGTCGAAGACGCACTCACTGATACTTTATACAAGGATTATTCACATTCAAAAAGTATAAAAGGGTTATTTTAGTATTTTTAACCTATTTTTCCATCAATATTTTACCTTCACCCAACATAAACTCAAAAAATTTAACCTAATTTCTCCGATAAAATTTCAGTGTACCAAATAACTTTTTTTAACGTTCCTATCAAATTCATTTTCCTATCATATTCCTAGTAATTGTATTTTTCTGATAAAAAGAATTTCTCCACTACTAAACGTCGCTTAAGTGCATGTTAAGCTAGCATGACAAAAATGAGTGTGATACATGTATATGTATGCATTTAAGGGGAAAACGAATGTATTCCGAGGTTCACATTTTACACTTCAATTAGCCAAAAGAGAATTTAAATAATAATAAAAATTTAAGAACTTCTATCTGGAAAGTGACTACGTTACCCTGAGCTATTGATCTGTGTCTTCTCTCTATGTTTGTGTTTATGCACAAAACTAGAATGCTATCCCTTATGACCTATGCTTCTGTGTCTTCGAACCTCTACAAAACCAGAACTGGATCCGTAGCTAACTAATTAAAGACCCCTGGATCTACAAAGTTACATTTGTAGAAGGAGACGGTCAACATCTCCAAGCTTTTAATTTTCACCAAATTTGGCACTTGCCATATTGATGAAACTCTACCAGTTGTGACCTTCCCAAAGATTTATTTACAAAGAGTAATGACATGACATTCACAATGTACATTAAGTTCGGTTACTCTAAAGGGACTATATAAGTTTTTGAGGTAACAGCACTGAAGTGATATTTTCTGTGTACTGCATTTAGCACTGCTGTTGCACAGTACACATATTGCTTTTATAGTGTATGGTTAGTAACCAAATTTGGTACACATTCGGAAAAAAAAATTGATTGTAAGTGAGTTTATCTCTAAACTACATAAATATTCTATGAGTTTTATTAATGTTATGCTACATAATATAAGTGTAATTTCCAACACACATAATAATGGAAAGAGAGGAAGTGGAATGATTAAAGAAAAAAAAAAATATGTGGACCCTACCTCTTTAATGTGTGTGCAGGAAAGTGAAGTTATGTTATGTAAAATAATAAACATAAAACTCATAGTCTATTCACTCTTCTTTAATTTAAGCACATGTGTTTTTAATTCAAAAAGTAAAAATCAAGAGTAAATACACCCTTATGTGATTTTCAGTAGTTTAATTTCTCCAAAAATTATCCGCATTTTCTTTGTTCAGTAGTTTTCAATATGTTCAGTCCTTCTGGAGTTCCGATCTTAATTTGTTTCTTAATTTGATGTGTTTTCTACAATAAATTGCATCAGACTTAGAGTACCACATAGGTTCTGATATTTCTGTTTTGATGTTTATTTCAGAATATAAATATAAAAATAATTTTTCAATCCTTTTAGATAGGGATTATATTTTTTAGTTTTAAAACATCTTTAAAATCTACAAGCACAGGACAACATCAACATGTAGTCATTGTACCACACTATTAATGAGAGAATTAAGGATATACAAATTCTATTGTTGATAGGTTTTATAACAGCTAGAAAGGAATGTACATATGTAACTTCAGTAAATGTTGTACACTGAAATTATATGTAGTTGTTAGATATGCATTCCAGGCTTATTTTTACTTTTAACCTCCACAAATCTTCATTTCATAATCGATATCCTATCGTGAAATAATTACATATAATAATGATTATAAATTCCTCCTTCCAATGTCGGTAGCCTATAAGAATAAGACCCATGGCCTTGGCAGTATGCAGCAATGCAGCATGCAATCCATGGGTATATAAATCTACAGACAAAGGAAGTTATGCTCGGAACAATCTAACAGCACTAAACAGTGATTCAACTGATCCAGCAGTCAATACTACGTCACAATGCTGTCATTTTCTATTTGCATCCTTCTTCCAATCAAGTATTAATATCAGGATTACTTATCCGATTGTTGATTACTGTTAATTAGTACTTATTTAACTCAGCAAACATTTTGGTTCTGTGAAGCCCCATAATATGATATGAAAAATTATTTTACATTAATGTGTCAAAATCTCAAACAGGCCACACCTCACTGTCACTAGATACTCAAATACTAAGCTTTTTGAATGACGATTATTATAATGGCATTATGGTAAGGTGATTCTTGGCTGTAGAACCACCAACCACTTTAAATCTTTTCTAGTTCATTTTGAAATGAAAAAAAAAAAACAGGTATATATAATACATAAATTTTTTGTTCCTTGTCTCCACATGAAAAAACCAATAAAAATATATAAACGAATTGCTAAAATTAATACACAAGTGTGGTTACATGCCAAACAACTTTGCTATTCTACATGTGGTCTCCAATAATGAGATTCAACTAAGGATTAGTATAAGTAATCTAATCCACTATGACGCACTGCAAGCCAAGCAAATTCTGCAGTCTACTCTTTTTCTTTCTCAAGTCATCTTTAGACGTGTTCCAATGCCATTCCCTCAATCACAGGCTCCGATCCCTAGAATCATTGTTTATTAATTCACAATACTAGATGAACTCCCCCTGACCCCCATATTGTAAGATTTGCTTCGTCCTTTTTTGCACATTCCTACTAAGTAAACTATTGAAAGTTTTGCCATGTCTGTAAGAACATTCATTGTTTGATAGTACTAGAACAAGAGAAGATAACTATGACAATGTACAATCAACCAATTATTGACCTTCAAAAGTTTAGCATTATTAATTAGAAATGCAAAAATGGGAGCCATTCAACTAGCATAGGATTCTAATCTCCCCCGGCACGTGATTTGTCGCTTTACCACATGACTCCGTGAGCTAATATCAAAAAAGAATTTAAAGAGAACCTTCCCACTCTCAACAACCAGTCCGAGGTGGGTGGGGAGTCATTTGCACATATATTTATGCACGTCACTTCTGAATATTTTTTAAGGGTTTTCATTTTATCTTTTAACATAACACAACAAACTTTTCTACCCTCACAATATTTTGTGGGGTCCACACTTTTTAAAACAAAAAAATAAATAAAAAATTAAGGCACGCAAAACGAATCTCTATAACATTACACAATCACTTTTCCTACAACATAACTCTTATAAAACCCATTTTTTATATGAGAAATATTTAGTTTGGGAAACTTACAATAAACAATTATGTAAGTTAATTTTACGAAAGAGTTTAACTATTTTTAAGAAAATATACATTTTTTTAAAAACTCGAGTTCTTTTTTTTTTAGAAAAAGAAAAAGAAAAAATTGTATAACAACAAAGAAGAAAAAAAAAACCTCTAGATTTATAGATTTTACTTGTTAGTTGTTGGTGCACTACTAAATGTTGAGGAAAAGGCTATTAAATTGAGATGTGGGGCACTACATGTTAGACCCTGAACTCTAAAAAGAGAAGATGACAACATACTATGAAAGTTACTGATGAGGCTATAGCTACACGACCAAGTGGGGCTTTGGTCTCAGTCAATCAACGATGAGAAGCATCCGTGCAGCATCTGCCTACCTCAATTTGAAAAGGATTTCACTTTTACTTTGCATTTTGAAACTCACATGCACACATGTAGCTTCTTAGCTCGGATTTTTTACCTATAATTTCTCATTCCTGCGCATGGTCATGAACAGTTGCACACATATAGGCCCACACAGATACAGGAAGCTAGTTCAGTTTTTTACAAATACATGAATCAATGGAGTACTAGTTAATAAATTCGCACATAATCTATACCATATGAAACGAAGCAGAGAATCACGCAGCAAACAAGATCAAGCATGCAAGCAAAGAAGTCATTTTTATTGATTTATACTGCTCTTTATACAAATACCCTAATCTCTAAACTACTGAATTAATTAAACTCTAGCTAGATTAACAGAGAAAACAACTTATATAAAACTTAAAAAAAAAAAAAAAAAAGGGTTACATAAGAGAACCAAATACTAGCTAGGTAGCTCTAACTAGCTAATTAAGGGTGAAGGTGGTTATTTCCCACCTCTATGATCAATTAGCCCTTTCAACATGGCGTATAAACACAGTTTCTAAGTCTGGTGGAGTGAAGAACTCTCTAGCTCCACCACTATAGTTGCACTTCAAAGAAGGCTTTCGTTTCCTAGGAGCTCGTGGGCACGTCAACGTTGTGGGAATCCTTGCTTGTTCCCCTTTTGGCGTTGTGGAACACTCCTCCTCCATGTCACTTTCGTCTTGTTGTTCTTTCTCAACAGGGATGGTATATATTGGCTTCAATGGCGCTCTTAAAGCTATTCCGGCGATGACCCATTTTCTACTATCTGACTCTAAGCCTCCTTCCACTTGTGCCTTCTCAGAAAACCCCATATTTAACCACCAAAAAGTGTTTTAGGGAAATATGTATGTATTTATGTATAGCTATAGCAGGGAATAAGAATAAGGGAATAAAGATGGTTTGATTTTTCCTTTTTCTTTGTTCTCTATTCTTTTGGGTGTAAACTGGCTGGGGAATCGAATGAAACCAGTAGGAAAGTGGTGACTGGTGAAAAGGGTGGAGGAAAAGAGAGCGAGAATGAAGAATAAAGACAGAAATTGAAGGAAAAAAGTTTGCACTGAGAAAGATGAAGGAACAAATTAAGTAAAGAGCTTTGGATCAGGTTCAGTGAAAGAGTTTCTTTGAAGCTTGTTGAAGGTAAGGGGACAAAGAAAAAATGAAGTGGGAGAATTTGGTGACTTTTGTAGGACATTTGGTGCGCGTGTAAAATACTTGGTGCATTGTACTAAGACGCATGTACTTCGCAGATTCATAATGGAAGTGCGTAGAGAATAAAATGTTGAGTTTTAATTAAGGAGAATACAAGTTACTTGACAGGAGACATCGTTGTGTCATGCTGCACAGCATCTGAGATTTACTTGACGTGTTCATTAATTGATTTAACGGTTTTATTAATCTCATACAATAGGAGAGAATTTTCTTATGCAATAGAAATAATTATGTGTGAGATTCACTTATTATGAAAAAAAAAAAGTAACACAGAAATTGATGTATGTGTATGAGAGAAAAATTCTCTCCTACAACATAAGAGTATATTTTCCCTTGATTTAAAGCGATTTAAATTTTGGTGATCGAATTGAAAAATCAATAATTAAATAATCAAAAATTTAAAAAAAATAGCTTATTTATTTTAATTGGATTGGATCGATTTTTGATTTAATTGATAAAAATTATATATTTTTATTATTTATTAATCTATTTTAACTCTTCTTTTTTTGAGTTACCCAACCCTAATTATCTCTTTGAGACGAGTTGGCTCCCTCCGGTATCCCCACGAGCTTCAACTCTTTGAGCCGGCTATGAGACTAATCCGGAGTTTTAACTCTTAATGAGTTTTAAAACTTATTTTAGTTTGAAGACTTGAATTTTTCGCTAATTTATAACTTTGAATGACTTTATTTTGATATAACTAGTGATTTGTATGATTGAAATTTTAAGTTTTTCGAAAAATTAAAAACTGATCTAATTCAAACCGAATAAAATTAGATTGGATCGGATTTTACAAAATCCAAACCGAATGGATGATTAAATAATCAAACTGAAAGTACTAAAACAGATTATTTTTGCTTCAAAATCGATCCAATCCAGATCGCAAACACTTCCATTGGCTTTGAAAAAAAAAAGATGGAGGAGAGAACGAGATATTCGATTTGAGTATAAGAGGGGAATGATTTATCCTACAACAGGATAAACTCATTCCCCATTAATTAAAGGGAAAAATATTTCTGCATTTACTGCAGATAAGTTATCTACATTTTTTTCAAAATGACATCGTTTTGGTATTGAAATCTTAAAAAATTATAAATACAAAGACTATTATAACGCTAAAATAAATTGAAATGGCAAAGATACCATGATTTCTGCCCCAAAACAACGTCGTATTGAGCTTACTGTAGATAACTTATCTGAAGTAACTGCAGAAAAAGTGAACTCATAATAAACATTATATAGACATGAAATGCTACGTGTAGTGTTATTCTTTAGACATCAACTTTTAGCTATTATGTAATTTTAAATTTATGACTTGAAATTTAACTATCATGAATTGTAAAATTTCTCTTTTCATTTTTTTAATAAACACTTAACTATTTCTTATATTTTGATCTCATTATTAACTCATATGAATAATTTTTGTACTATAACAACAAATATGATATTATTATTAAATAACCACACATATTTATAGTCATTGTATTATTACAATTATGTAAATTATGATATAACAAAGGGCGTTAAGTTCCACGTGTTTCTAGAGACTCACCCTCTTTTTGCATACACGCAATAGTAGAAATGTTTTTTTTAACTACAAATGGACTCCACGTAAAAAATTGTGCTTGCAACAGGAAAAGTGATATTTCCTGTGGCAAGAGAAGTATAATGCCCTATAACAAATTCACATAAATTATAAAGTTATTAATTTTATGCATAAATTAAGTTAGAAATTTTTTATATTAAACTATTTATAATAGTATAATACAATTAAAAATTACATTATATTTGTATTAATTACATACATATATATATATATTGTGTTTTTTAATACTATATATATTGTATTTCTTAGTTAATTTTTATTTTTCTTTCCTATAATTATAATAATTAGATATTTGTAATAATTTTCTTATTAAATATCATCTACTAAACCAAGAGGAGAGATAAAAGAGAACCCCCGAGCGAGGAAGGGGGTGACATAAGCCAGACCATTAAATAAGACTTCTGAGAGACAGAAAATAAGAGAAAGGGAAATGTGGGTGCCCGTGACAATAGCTGAACATAGGGCAGGACATAAGAGAGAATAAATGGGCTTTAGAGCCAGAATTCAGGGTTTCGGGATCACCAATAATATTAGCGCTTTATTGATTTTATGCGATCTCTCTTGTGTTATAGAGATAATTATGTTTGGGATCACTCATTTATAAAAAAAGAAAAAAAAAGAAAAAGTAAAACAGAAATCAATGTATGTGTAGAAGATAAAAACACTCTCCTATGACATGAGAGTATATTTTCCTATAATCAATGTATGTGTAGAAGATAAAAACACTCTCCTATAACATAAGAGTATATTTTCTCGTAATATTATCATGTTATTCTTTCTATGCTCCTCCTTTTTGTTAAATAAAACACCTTTTATTTTTCATTTAATCGCGGGTCTCTTTTTTTGAATTCATGGCTTTTATTTTGAAAATGAAATCAAACGTTTTTCAAAGAATTTCCGTATGCAATCAAACTCTTGTATTAGCGATTGATGTTTCTGCGTCTCCATTATGATTTGTCACTTATAATATGGTCGCATTTGCTCTCAGCATTTCATTTTCAAACTCCACTATTAAAGACATTAATTGATGTAAGCTCCACGATTTTTTTTAAAGCATAAAATTGTAGGGGAAAAGAATATTGTTTCATTTTATGATCAGACGACTTTACTACTTTACTACTTTACTAGACAGGATTATTGGGACAATCAGCTCAATAATATTCACTTTCCACTACAAAACAATACATTTACACAATATTTTCTAACCAGCTATATATGTAGCACATGTTGAGCATTATTATTGGAGTGAACCTTTCGTTCATTCATCTATTGCTCGTTCACCCTCACTTTCTATGTGTTTAAGCTCTCGATACAGGCTATCAGACACCCTCTCTCTCCGCCATGTACATGACCGAGAACAACATCACCTTCATTAGAAGGACCTCTCTAGATATCTAGTTTATCTCATACATGCGCCTCTTAGTTGATTTATATTAACAAAACTCTCAAAAGATTCTATAGTTAAATAATTTGGACCATTCAAAAATTTGTGCAAACAATTCACCTTCATTATTGGAATCAAGATGACATTTAATAATTTACTTGATGATCTATGATAGATATATATATATATATATAAGTATAAAATTTGTGCAAATATAATTATTTTACTATAAAAATATTTATGCTAGTAGTTGAAATTATAAAGGGAGTTTTGAGTTTTATTTTTTTTTAGTGATATCATTTTCAACGCCTTAACAATGACAATAGATAGTGGTATGAAAGCAATTCCTGGCACGATACTAGTATTCTGCTAACGAAATAGCTGATTTTGTTGACAACACCCTTAAGACCTTAACACAGTTGATGTAATTGATTGACGTGACTAATTAATATGATTTTTCAAAACTTCGTCTTTTACACAGTGAAAATGACACATAAAAGATAAGAGTAATATTTTTCATGTCATAGAAGATAAATTTATAAATTTATTTTTTATACATTTATAAAAGTTAAAAGTGTGTGTGATCCATATTTTTTTATTCTTTTTTCATTCTTTTTTTTGGATACATTCTCTCTCTTTTCTTATATAGACTCACACAATTTTCATACAATACTTTTATATATGTATAGAAAATAAATTTATTTTTCACCAAGAAAAATATTAAATCAATAAAAGATAGAAGGTCGATAGGAAAATAATTTTTTCATTGTTGAAGTATATACATATACAAGTTGTAAAGAAAATTAAGGTAAGGGTTAAGTTTTTTTTTTTTTTTTTTTTGTCTTTAACCAAGTTATTCTCATATTTTTATAAAATTAATATTCAAATATTATCCCAATTAAAAAATATTTTCTATAATTATTTTCTTTAAGGTGAACCAGAAATAATTGAAATAAAACATAGATATTCATGTATTATGTTTATTTAGTTTAAATTTAAAATAAAAATCTTTAATATGCGACAATTTAAGATTTTATTTACAAATTAGACTTAATGTAATTCTCTCTCTTGGTTTTGATTCTTGGGATTTGTTTATCTCATGTTAACATGAGATAATTATTTTTCTTGATTCTTATATATAAACTCAAAGTATGAGTGAATAAAAAATTTAAAATTTAAGAGATGATGTCTCCCTCCTTCGATACATTAATATTCGATATATTGTAATCCCTAAGAGTTTGATATATACCTGCAATATAAAAATAATAATAATAAAAAATTAGCGGAAGCGAGGCGGCCATTTATCGCGATTTGATATATACATCAAACAATTCCGAAATACTTTGTGTCGTCGAGTCAAGATTCTTAATATCTGCAGAGGTTTTAATCAGTGTGCTACCTGTCAAAACTGGATTTGACCGACAATTCAACAGTCTATAAATTTAAATTAATTAAGTAAAAAATATATAAATTTTTATTATCCAGAATATCAGAGTGCTTGGTAACAGATTTGCAGCCTTATTATGGATAGATCATAGATATGTGGTCATTGCATAATCACTCTTTTTCATTCTCCAGGGGTGTTTGGTAGAGAAGAAAAAGTTTTTTTATCTGAGAATCACGATTTCTAAAAATATGATGAGAAAATAAATTTTCTGAAAATGTTATCAAAAAGTTATTTGGTAGACTAACATATTCCTGAAAATATTGAGTTAATTTGCTTGATACTATATATAGTTCTATTAAATTTTTCCTTTTCATAAAAATCATAAAATACCACCTCTTGAATAGTATTCCTGGATGATTTTTTCAAAAAAAATTACACACAAAATAAAATCACGGGAAAATCAGATTCTCAGATTTATTTTAAAAAACTTGTACCAAACGTAGATAAATAAGATTACCATTTTCAATTTTCCAAGAATCCTAACAAAATCCTTCTACCAAACAGCCCCTTATTTTCTTTTCTTGCTTTCCAACAATTACAAACAAGCAAAAGACTTTTGAGTCTATTTTAGACATTCATTAAAAATAATGAACAAACTAATGAATTTTATGTAAAAATCAAACGATATGGGTTGGAAAGGAGTAAAAACAAACCGCAACAGCTGTAAGCATCAAAGTTACTTTTAAATGTCCTATATTCCATATCTTAATATCTTTACATCTTGATTCCCATAGCTTTACAACTTGTGAAAGGAAGGGCTTTTTATCCCAAACACCATCTGGATTAAAATATGAACAAATATCCTCACAATTTGAAATAAGAAAACGCAAGGATTTTAGTCCAATTTCAAAAGAAACAAAAATAAAAATAAAAACAGATTCCAACACATTTTTGCAACTTCTTGATGCAATCATAGCTATCTATTCTTTGATACTTGAATTTAACAATGTCCAAGCTAGGGCACGGAAGCAAGCACAAAATAAGACGACGAGGACAACAATTATAATAACAAAACCAAAAACGACATTGGACTTGGCACCAAACCAATAGCTGATGCCATCGAGCATATTCCAAAACCAGTGTACGAATCCATATTTCTTAATACAGTCCTTAAACAGCATCATTTGAATGATTTATCAGTGATTAAACCCCACAACGCACGGTACTCTATCTATCATGGGTTGCTACACTTAGAATGCTTAAAGGAAATATGGAATTTTTTGGTACTGAATAGCTATAAGAATGTTCTTGATTCAAATAGTAGTATAATACATGCCTTGTGTTTTTCCAATACCAAATTTTGGGTTTAGCTACTTTTAAAGTGAAAAATTAAAAGTATGATAAAATACATACATTTATAACAAATTATGTAGTTATTAAAATCTATTTCCTTAATTTTCTAATATTTATAATTCTTCATTTTTTCATTTAACTTCACTTTAAAATATTCGAATTCCAAATTTTGTGTGCATCAAGGAACTTATAATTCTAATGGTAGAACCTCTTTTTTACAGACCCAACGAGCTTCACGAATGCACCATGTGCGAAATACTTGAAGATGAGTACCAAAAATAAGAAGTAAAAAAAAAATTAAAGACAAGTATAAGTAGAATTTTAAAGAAAAGATATATGACAAAGAGTAAAATTAATAATTTTATTTCTTGTTTTTTCTTTTTCACATATTTATTACACTAAACACAAGCACAAACTGATTACAATTCCAAAATTTTCATTTTGTTACAATTCCACTCACTCAATCATGCATTCTTATCCTTCTAATTACTAAAGACAAACCATACTTGAAAAGGAAACCCAAAAATATTTAATAATAAATAATGAAAAATAAGAAGAGAGAGAGAGAGATGACGTTATTGAGGAATCTTTTAAGTATTTGAAATCATCAATCAATTAACCAATGTTATAAAATCGGACCGACCTGGCCGAGTCGATCCGAAAATTGGTGAACCGGTCATATAATCAGTCCGATTTTCATATTGAATCGGCCATGTTACAGAACCGGTGCGACCCGGCCAGTTTTCGTAAAAACCGGTGACCCAGTCAATTCAACCGGTGACCCAGTCCGGTCTATAAAAAAAAAACTAATTTATTTTCATAAATTAATGTCTTCTTTTTTTTTACTCTCAAACACAAATGATTTGTTTTCTTTTGAAATATTTGAGTGATTTGTAACTTATTAACTTACATAGATTATATACCTACAACACTAATATTATCTTGATTATGCAATATGCAGAAAATTTTGATTTGATTTATAGTTAGAGATGTCATTTAGTGAACCTGAAACACTAGTATCATAAATATTATATGTTTGATTGATCTTTTGTTGGACAATGATGTGTAATTTATTATTTCTATATTAAAATATTTGAAATTGGAATATTTTTTTACAAGTATTTAAGTATATTTATAATTTTTTTAATATAAATTGTAGATTTATATATACTTACCGGGTCATGCGGTTGAACCAGTGATCCAGTACCTCGACCGGGTCAATAACCAAGCCGGGTTTTATAACATTGAAATTAACAATAACTATAGAAAAATGCAATTTCAAGCTCTGTATATTATTAAAAAAAAATGTCCTCGACATTTTAATTCTTCTTTTTTGGAAGATGAAGTATTTTGCAATTTCGATTTCAAAAGAAACTCACCCTCTTTTGAATAAAAATGTATCGGTTATAGGTCACAAGGGGGTATCTTGTAACACCTATCTATGTTGAACCTTTTCTTTGAACTTCTAAAACACAGGATATAAAGAGAACTATCATATTCAAGACGATTCTTGGCCATGCCACAACATAATAAAGGTGAGAGAGAGATTAAAAATACATGAAAGATTGTCAGTTTTAGAGATGATATATAAGAAAATATAAGGTTTAAGAATTATCTCCAATGGAGGACAAGTAGAAGCCTCGTATAACGGAGGTTGTGTTTTAGAAGGGATGGATTGAACTGCTTACAGAAGCGCATGAGCATAATGTAACTTCTATGACGATTATCTTACAACCTTGAATAACCTCTATGGTCTTCGTATTGCTCCATGAACTCATCATTGAACTTTTTGAAACTATCCATGATAGCAGGCATGTCTTCCTCAAGTGGTAAAATTGTTGTCCTCAAATGGAAGACCCTATTGCAAAAGTTTGACATAAAAAAGCATTAGAAAGTAGGAAAAGAAAAACAGTGGAATACTTATTTTTTTCATCATATATGTTGTAGTTCTTGAAGGTATAGTTCAAAAGTATATTATCAAGTTCTATACATCCAGAGTTACTGCATGGATGGTGGACAAATAATTCTTATTTGACCTAGTAAATCACATTCTCATTGCATGACACAGCCATAAGAGTAGGCATGTGACTCACTTTAAATAATGGCATAGAAGAAGGGATACAAATTATAAATGAGGGATGAACATGAGAAAATAAATGGATAAGTATGTACCCTTCTTTCTGTCCAAATCCTGAACCAGGAACAGTGGATATGCCAGTGGCTTCCAAAAGCTTGAGACAGTAGAAAACATCTGGGACCTTTCCAGCCTGTTTAGCAGCCTCTATAGCTCTTGGTGGCAATCTTATTTGAGGGAATGAATACATGGCTCCTGAAAAAAACTCCAGGAATCACTACTGATTTACCAGGCACAAGACAATCACATATTGAAGATGAAACACGAAAACACATCAAATTCTTTTGGAACACTATCGTTTATACCTTCTGTAAAATTACAAACAACATTTCTGCAACTGTTGAATCCATCAGTCATTATCCTTGCTCTTCTCCTCAGTGATTCAATTATTCCTTTGCTGAATATTATAGATAATTGTCAATTCACTAGATAAAGAGCCACCTTTTTCTCATGACTTCAGACATTTCGGAAGCAATGGGAGAAATGCAGAATTTCTCATGATTAACTGGACGAAAATTTTGAAATTTAGCACATTAGTCTTAGCTGATTACCTTTCCCTAAAATATTGGTCATACGAAATATCTCCAGGTTTGAGTGGATTGACCATAAGTCCCATCTGTAGAACAAGGTAAAAAATGGGGGAAAGGATGAGGAAAAGGGGGAGGGGAAAGAGAACAGTACTCACTAAAATTATACTTTGAACAAATATTTCTGAATTAAAATATCTGAGAGAAAAACATTCAGCTCCAACTCACAAATATTTGTGCTGGAACATTTGGACTAAGTGATATTGATGCAACCTTATAGATCTCATCAACTGTCTGCAAAAGAAAATGAAAATCAAAGAACAGTTCAGTAGTGCAGCTACAGCAAAAATTGAAGGCCAAACGCATTTGAACACCTTACCTGTAAGTCAGAAGGTCCTACATCTATACAAGAGGTAATGAGTGCAAAAAAACTATTTTACCACAGCAAAATAATTCAGCTCATTACATTACATGTGGCACCAAGTACCGACAACATTGGTTAACATATAATAATGTAAAATTTGGGAGCATTACAGTTAATGACATCTTGATATTGATGTATTTTTTTTGTATTCCTCGTTAATGTTTGTTAGGGACCCATTTGCAAGGTATGGGACTTGGAGTCTCACATTGGTTGTATGGGCAACTAATGTGGGGTTTATAAGGCCTTGGGCACTCCCACCCTTTGAGCTAGCTTTTGGGGTGGTGCATCTCAAGGTTCTTATCAATGTTCAACAACTTTTCCACCACTCCATGTTTTGACATGAATCTCTAAATGATTTGAAGAACATAACAGGAATTAGGCGCAATAAATCTGTACTTCAATTTTTACATATTCGAAACGTTGCAAGAAATCCAGCTTGAAACTAACAAAATTCAGGTAACACAAGTTATGAAAAGACAAACCTCTGGAGGAATGTTGGTCATTTCAAAATATCCGCCCCGCTGTCCACATTCACCAAAAAACCCTTTTGACACTGAGTGAAAACAAACAAGCTGGAGTTCCTTGCTTATGGGTGGCCCCAAGTCCATCAAAACCTTTTCATGTAAAGTAATATATAGCATCAACTCATGTAAACAACCTAGTCAAAACATCAGATCAGATTAGCAGCACAACAAAGCATACCTTTTTAGAACTAAGGAAGGGTCGTTCATCCTGATATATATTCTGCTGGTAAACTTCATCTCCAAGCAAGACTAAATTTTCTTCATAACAAAATCGCAAAATATCTCTTAGATTAGCTTCACTAAGGCACTGACCAGTAGGGTTTCCAGGATTTATGATCACCATTGCTTTAACCTGATCAAATTTCAATTCATAAGAAATATTCTTGCTTCCTTTATTAAACAAGGCATTACACAAATGAATAAGACGATAGTTTGACAAATGAAAATAACTTATTAGAAGGATATTTAGTTTTAAAATTTGAATTTCAGAATAGCAAAAATAATTCAGCGTTACTTACAAAAAAATAAAATAACAATAACAATAATAATTCATTGTTAGATGATTTCATCACTGGCAGAAATACGTTCCAAGAAACAGCCAAGATTTTTTTAAAATTATATTTGGGAAGATTGTCTATCAATCAACCATATACTACTTTTGTTTCTTTTTTCCTGGTCTGTCGCACAAAGCAACCAGCCAAGTCATTTCTGCTAGTCACCTTAAGAAGAAACAGGAAGAAAAGTATAAAAAACAATTGGTTTCAATATGAGAAGATTCATGCTACCGACCCCAACTAGTTTGAGATAAATATGATGTTGATGTTGATGAGAAGATTCATGCTATCCACACATTGATTCAGTGTCTTCAAAACATTTAAGCATCTCGGTTTATAATTTTAATCTAGAAACAGTCGAAAAATAACACTTATGAAGATAAAACACATACAGTTATTCCTTTATAGCGAGCCTGTGCAATTGATTGACGAAGATCTTTAATATCAAGACCCCAATTTGCCGTCTCTTCAAGGTAGTATGGCACAAGAGTACCACCAAGAAGAGCAATTGTTGCTGAGTAGAGTGGGTATTGTGGCACTGGAACCAAAATCTGGCAACAAGAAGTGTTGGGAAATTATTTGAAATGGCACTTTGAGCATAGAAAACGAAGAACTATGAAAAATGAGAATATATTACCCCATCTCCTTGACCTCTGATGATAGTATTTAAGATCTGCATCACAGCCTTGCTGGCACCATCAGTGAGATATATGAGCTCTGGATCACTGTAAATGGAGCAAGAAGCAATTAACACCTTTGCCTAAAAAATGGAAACTAAGCTTAAGAGCCCTTTAAAGGAAAGGTGTTTACAATTTAAAGTAGGAAAAGGAATGGGACTCTATGGAGCATAAATACCTTGGATAACCATCACGCCTGAGTATGTACTCTGCCACTTCCTTCCTCACTCCTGGAAGGCCTCGGGAGTCACTATAAGCACCTACAAGTATACCATTAGTTGCAGTTCATTAGTGGAGATTCTCAGATCAAAGAAAAATCTTAACTCCTAAATCTATTATAAGGAGAAGAATTGGTAAACAACCAACGGTGCAATAGTGATAGTAAGATGAAATTTTTAGATGGTAAAATGCAAGAAATATTTACAAGCTAAGAAGAATGGTGCTAGGCCTAAAAAATTTGAAGTTCTTAGTGCTAAGCAAAAGAAATCCCACAACTAAAAGGTCCTAGAGAGGCAATGGAAGAGCTTTTGTTTTGCTTGTGCTGTTGTTGTATTAGCAATTAAGTCTTCAATTCCAGGTGCATTTTCATGTGATAGGTTATGAGTGGATGACCACTAATTATATGTAAAAACTTGCTCAACTAAACTATTCCCTAATGTCCTGTCAGTGCAACCATCTTCTTGCAGCAATTTCTTCTTTGATTAACTAAAACTCGATCTGAGATCCTTAGGCAACAAAAACAAAGGATAATTAATGGAAAAAATCAGCAAACAGACATAAACGCAACGTTAAAATTTATGGTCATATTCTGGCATTGCATCAATAATCCAAAATTCAAACTAGAAATACCAAAACCTTGACTAGTCTGCTCAGTTAATGAAAATTGTCTAATTTTTCAGAGAATAATTTTAATAAGAGAGAAACACACAGAATTTTTGTTCAGTACACAATTTTTTATTTTTCATAAACTAATTTTTATTATTTTCCATGTTTTCTAAGAATTTAGAAAAAGCTTGTTTTTCACACTAAACATGAACCGACTGATAACTGTAAAGGGATGCCATTGAATGAGGCTCCCAGCCTCAAACCACTGTGGGGTTTTGGAAGGGCCTGGTGTATGCAATCTTGTCCTTTGCAAGCGGAGAAGCTATTCCCACAGTCAGAACCCTTGTGTAGGTTGCAACTTGCAAGGCTAACCTCACAGTTTTGCCAAGACTAACCCTCCAAGCAACTCTTATCTGTGTCATATTAAATTTTAACATGGGCAGCATATAACTGAAAAAATATAATGCAGTATATAACATGGTCGTTATTGCTTAAATTATTAGACTTACTAGCATTGCTAGTTAATTCAGGTGACAGACATCACAGACGCAAAGTGATACTTTAAAAGAGGAATAAAATATGGAAAACTCTACCATGTTTTAAAACAATGAATATAGTTGACATATGAATACCTAAACCACCCGAGGTCAATGAGAGATAGTGTTTAGCTCTTGCAATTGCATCAGCAGGGAATAGCAGTCCAACATTAGGATCATCGAGTAGGAATGGAGCCTGGCACAAAGCAACAACCTACAATAGAAAAAATTCCCATAGGTTAGCAGAATCAACAAATAAAATAGTTTAATACTCCAACAATTTAATTAGACAAGGAGTATGTTTAGCTGTATTAACATTATATAAATTACAAGGGACATCCAGGAAAAGTAGAAATATGATAGTTATGCTGAACCTGGCGAGGGAAGGTCAGTGGTTTCTGTCCCAAAGCTTGTGGGTTGCCGACATTAGTGAATATAATCTGCCAACAATTGAAAATGAGTAAGTGTAACATGACAATGAGCAGGAGCACAAATATTGAGATGATGACATGAATACAAATATATTCTTTTGAACAACACAGCTATAAGGAAGATTAAGCTGACAGTATGTATAAATAAGACTACATTTAAACAAGTATAGGCATTGATACTCACTCTTTTATGCAAATCAACTCTCAGGAGATGCAAGTTGAAAACAATACAAATATAAACGGGTTTAATTTCAAGCAGCTAAAGAGTTCCACACACAAACTAATTTACTTCAATGAAAATGCTTTCCAAGTAAAAAAATTTGAATTTTTATTTTTTCAACAAGTCATTTAAGCCATTTGGAACAAGAACTGGGTATTAAGAAATGCTTACTATGAAGTTTGAAAAATGGAAAACATATAGTAACATACTACCATTACCATAATGGTCATGTTATACAGGTTTAGGATTCCAACTACAACTTGTTCAACAGGGTGAGCACTTATGGGTCCTTGTAAAACATATGAGAATCTATGAACAATTTGCAATAGCAGGCTTCAAGTTACTTTATAGCTTGCATACATCATCTGAAAACCCTGACTCTATAATAGTAAAAGACAAATTCAAAGAAAGGAATTTAATGATCAGTTCCAATTTAATCCTCCAACCTAAGGGTGCAAGTCAAACAAATATAAATTTCTGCATATAACCTGGAAAAGGAATTATATTCTACCTTTTTGCCCTCCTTCTGAAGCTCAGAAGCTCGAAGGTATAATTCACCTCTAACAGCATATTGAGCCTTCTTCACATTTTCATTTATTGACACATAGTCTAAGGGCTTCGGTGGCATGGTGAAGCAGAAAACTTCTGGCAGATGTCACTGAATAAGAAAAATCCAAAAGCTACCAAAAAATTAAACCAGCTGCCAACCAGAGTAATTCAAAGAGGGAAAAGAAAAAATGAGAACCGTCCAGTCATGAATCATGACACAAAGCAGCATAAAACTACCGTATTCAACCACAAGAGAAATGTTTTAATTTAGGTACGTAGGGATGCCACTGCAGTCTTATTGATTTTTCAATAACAGATTTCAAGCTCACTAATGAAAACGCAAAACCCCATAATTAGACTACTCTTTCTTAATCATAACTTAATCAAAGATCATATGCGGTAGACTCGTAGCACTTTAAGGAACTTAGTATATTCCGAATGGTGGAACATATGCATCATCAACAAATTTGCAAGACAATAGAAACGACACAATTAAACCAGACCAATAAGAACGCAAAATTATGCGCACTCACAATTGAAAATGATGATACAAAGTATAGGAAAGTTGCACGATCAAAAAGAAACAAGAAAGCCAAAGTAAACAACGATACATGATACAACCAAGAAAATCAGAGTCAAATCGTGACAGAGTTGCCAATCCATTCTAGATTCCTGAAAATACCCTTCAAGCTTGTAACGAAAAGGTCACAAAAAAAAGAGAAGGGAAACAAGTATCCTCCCAGAAACACATACCCAGTTGACACAAGAGGCAAAAGATTCGATTTTTAGCTTTTTGATGCAAGTGGGTAGTGTTGTGTAGATCGAGTGTAGTTGAGAAATGTTACCTATGGAATTGGTGTGTTGTGTTGTGGACTCCCTTGCAATCGAGTCAAGCGACCACCTTCGCGTGATTGAAGTGCTCAGTGGGAAACAACAAAGTAGTTTACAAAGTTATACGTGTCTGACAAGAGAGTGAGTTTTTGTTCCAATGAAAAAGTGTATTTTATGTGGCAGTGGCACAGTTTGGGAACACAATGGCAGTAGCATAGCCACTGAAAAATAGATTATTGAAGTCACTATATTTAACCAAAGGGATAATGTTCGTGCATGAATTGTGGCCTTGCTTTGGGCTACAGGGTCATAGATAGATAACACAGCTCTGGCCTTAAATCTTTCCTTGTGCTTCACAAATGTAAATGTGTTTGTTTGTTTCTTGGTTGAGTGGTTCATGTTTGTGTGTTCTATCTTTCACAAATGATTTTACCTATTTAAAAAGGGTGGAATTTGATAAATATGTCACTTTCTTTCGCTTTGCTAGGACAAACAAATTTTAAATCTATGCGATGACAAACAAATTTGAAAGATAATGTGAAAAATGTTTCGCTTTGCTAGAATATATGGTCCAAAAAGCTCAAGACTATTTTGCTTGCTTCATTTACAAAGATATGTCTAATACATGTAGTAAGTCTAAATAACTTTTGTTCTTCTATTTTTACTAGAACAATTATTTGTTGTTGAAATATGTTGGTGCAATTCGAACCTGAGTTCTATGCTCTTCTCAGTAATGGAGAATATAAATTATTAGAATGAAAGGGTTTCGTCCAATCAAGCTTTATCCTCTGCCTGGCTTTGGATATATACACTGACTTTTTAAAGTTGTGCAGTATTTATAAATTAATCGAATGTGAAATTCAACTTAAACTGTAAACTCAAATTGAATTGATTTCATCTTAGTTTTATTTATTCGAATTGGTGATTTTTTTTTCTCGGTACATTAAAGTTCAGAAAAAAATAAAAAATAAAGATTGTCTCATTTTAATAAGATTAGGATATGTAAGCTTTAATGTTAATTTAGTGTAGTATCTATAAATAATTTACTAATTACGAAACTAGAAAATTTAAGTTTATATTTTATATTGGTTATTTTTAAAGAGAATATATTATTTTTTAATTTCTTCATCAATTTATTAATTATTTAATTAATCGATCGAGCTAGACAATGAAAATAGAAATCTTTCTATCAAAATTTTCAAAGAAAATATCATTTTAAAAGAAGACTCCATCACTATTCACTAGGATAAGCATACACACACATTAAGTAGTGAGGACAAAAGCAAAAATGACGAAAAATAAACGATTTTGGCTAAGGAAGGGCAAGACGCACTCCTTGACCTTGCATTTGGGAAACAAGATAGAATTTGTGAGGAAATGGCTTAGCAATATGGCACTGTGAATTGGGGTAGGTAGACTTTAGACTAGGCTAAAACCAATTAGGTGAGAGGGGCCACCTTTTATATATAATCGGATAGATTTGATAATCAAATTGAACGACCGTATACCTTATAATATATATATTTTTAAAAAAATTATGGTAATGTTAATAATTAAATTATATCAAAACTTTATGTATATATATATAGATAGATAAACATCTAATTAAAGTTACATAAATAAATATTAAATAAAGAATTAAAAAACAGAAGAAGAAATTACTTAAACTTTATGACTTTGATTATATATGTAATTATAGGTAAAATGAAATGAAATCAAATTCATTTTTAGATTTTGAATAGAAATACGGGAGAGTGACCATTTTGCCACGCTTCACCAAATTATTTACCAGACTATCACGCGAACAGTAAAAATTCCCGGAATGCCACGCGGCATAATTCGCTACACGGTGCAGCGAATTATGTTTGCAAATAATTCGCTACACAGTGTAGCGAAATATGCAGTGTCAGGCTGCACAGTCAGCAAAAATGACACGTGTCAAGCTGACAGTAATTCGCTGGGGTGTGTAGCGAATTATGCCTGTTATGCTGCCAGCTTAACACGTGTCATTTTTGCTGACTGTGCAGCCTGACACTGCATATTTCGCTACACTGTGTAGCGAATTATTTGCAAACATAATTCGCTGCACAGTGGAGCGAATTATGCCGCGTGGCATTTTGAGAATTTTTACTGTTTGCGTGGCAGTCTGGTAAATAATTTGGTGAAGCGTGGCAAAATGGTCACTGTCCCTAGAAATACAATAGAATAGAATATGGTAGAATTAATTTTGAAATCAATTAAGATTTTGAATAAAAAATTAGATAAGGTGTGTCATTTCGGTGCAGAATAAATGTGTCCTTTCGATGCTGCACAGGTGTCTTTCAAATCATAATCTTTTACCCTTTTGTAAATATATGAAAGATTTCAGAAGAAATTGGTAATTTTATTTTTTCGATTGCTCTCCTTCAGTTTTACTCAACATACATATCATATTAAATCCTAGGGTTCAAATTTTTTTCCTTGCTCTTCATCGTCGATTTTTGGAACAATGACCAAAATATCATTGTTTATGTTCTTATTTATCCAACTGTAATGCGAACAGTATTATTTTTTAATATGTCACGCAAATTCGCTACAGTGGCCAGTGAATTTGGTTTGCTGGTGTGGCACGTTTCTGATGGACATCAAGTTCGCTACTGAGAGTGGCGAACTATGTTACAATAAATGCCCCTGTCCTTTGACACATTGGCAGGACACGTGTGAAGGACTAGAGCTGTCAAAACAGGCCAGCCCGACCCATTTAGCCCTAGCCCAAGTGAGTTAGGGCCAAAAAGCCCACAATGATATAGATCCACACGGGCCAAAGCCCTATTGGTTAGGGCCAGCCCGCGGGCCTTCTAAAAAAATAATATGTATTTTTTTAAAAAAATATTTATAATAAAATGGTGCATAGAAATTATTAGAAAAAATAAAAATAAATAGTTTTTAGAAAATTGTCACTTTTTAAAAAAATTATTGCATAGAAATTTGATTATGCCTAAATGATTTTGATGATGTCAAAGCATGAAGAACTCATTTTGAAGATGCTAAAGTTTCGGGTTAGATAATTTTTAGATTTCTTGTAACACATTAGATATATCATTAAGCATGATTCCAAGCTCTGTTGCATACCATTGTGTAACATGTATTTAGCTATGTTGAGTGACCTAATAAAAAAAATTAAAATTAAAATAAACAAGTCTTTAAAAATAAAATCCAAATCAATTAAAAATCTGTTTTAATAAAAAAAAAAAGTAAATTAAAAATTTGTTTTAATAAAAATCAAAAAGTAAAAGTAATATATATATATATAAAGAAACGAAACAAAAATTTACGTCTACAGCGTTCCTTTCAAAATTTGTTACGTTGATTGATTGTTATATATATGTAACACCCTGTTCTAGAACTGGTTTGTTAGCATTACGTACGACATTAAGCGCAGTTATAATCACAAGATTGAATTAAAATACGGATAAACTTTTCCTCTTTATTTATAAACGTTTTTGTTTAAAATCCGTTCCGTAATTAAACCAATCCCCGTAATGTGATTATAACCTAAATTATAGGTAGACTTCCTATTGTGAGTCTTATTTAGACCACCAAAGCTTAAAACTTACTTTTATTGTTCTTAAACACTAAACATTTATACTCTTTATTTATTTAAGAAATTCCTATACTACTTTTATGGTCTCCAATTTTCCAATATATTATAGGAATTTTCATTAGCTACGCGTGGGTTCAAACCGCGCTCAAATCGGAGCACCGTAGCTCAAGTTATGAAATTTCTGAGAAAATGGATGCTGAAATCCCCAAGACCCCCACACTCATAGCGTGAGAAGTCAGAGAGGTTGACGCTCATAGCGTGAGTCTCACGCTCATAGCGTCAAACCTACTGATGGTTGGCGCTCATAGCATGAACTTGACGCTAAGAGCACCGCAGTTCTGGAGCAAGCACCAAAACAGGGCAATTTGACCTCTTTTTGTATTTCATCTATAACTTTAGTTATACTACTCCTATTTACGCAATCTTGGTCTCGTTGGAAAGCTAAGAAAAAGATCTACAACTTCGATTAAGACACAAGGGTCCAAATCTATCATATAGGATATGAAATATGGACCACAAGATAGGATATCTTTATTTTCATATGGATTTTCAACCTACAAGTCTTCTTTCACCTAATTGACATCATATAATCCTTTCAATACATTATTCTTGATTCTTTCAAGGTACACATACATTAAGAGAAACATCCATACCCTTTCATCATTTATATATACAATAATCCCAACATTACATCATCTCTACAAGTCTTAATTACAGAATCATGGGACTTAGCTACAAAATACTATGATCAAGTCCTTGGCTCCCAACAACAAAAGAGATACCACAGGAGATGAGCATAGGCTAAGTCCATCCAATTAAAACATAACATGCATATGACAATTGGCTTTCAATTAACAATCCTATACATATAAACTACAAAATGGCATGCTTAATTCCAATGATGCAAGATCTTCATGTATCAACTAATCCAAATATGACCACTTGCCACTGGAGGCTCCTGCAGTATCCTTACCTGAAAGGGGGTCCCCACAACACGGGGTGAGATATACGAATATATCACAGTAAACCAGAGGTCCTTGGAGCATCTCTCCACCCTATAGTTCAATAACAGCGTAATAGCAATAACAATAATAATGCAATAAATACATATTCATGCACTGTGTAACAAACATCTCCAGGAGAAATCCCTCGAGCTCTCAAGCTGTCCTAAGGATACTCAGATGCAAATAGTCCTACTGGCCAGCTAAACTACCAAGTATGAATTACGCACCGTCATGCAACATACCAACATAGGGAAACACCGTTCTATGCCACACCAAATGCATACACATACGTATAAAAAAACATTAAACTACCTTATTGCATTTACGTACACTATCAACAACCACTACCCCTTTTGGGCTTGGTGTAACAAATAAGGGATCAACACCCAAGGTCCGAAGGCTTACCTCAAAGCTTCAGTTCAACCTTTGTTCTTCACCAATAAGTTCTACAACCAGTCAACTTCGATTTCCAACTATAACTTGTAAAATACACACGTACACCAAGGTGTCATATAATCAATCATACAAGCAAATGAATATTTATATATCCATCAACACAACAACAACTCTACACCATCAATTAGCATGAGCTT